AATGACAAGGTGTCAAAAATTGATGGACGTTTTTGACCGCGTTTTTTGTTGTTAAAATAAAATTGACCATTTTCGTCATTTTGTCCAAGTATATACAATGTGTATATGTATATAGACTATTTTAAATTATTTAGAAAAAAACACTGAGGCAGCGAAGACTTTTTAAATCCATAAAAAAATAAAACACTAGATTCTTTCTCAGATTTATAACTCCAGATGGCTCTTAAATTCTGTAAAAAACACAAGTGGCTTCGAAATTTATTCAAAAATAGAAAGCCGGAAGTCGTCAAAATTTTTGCATTTCAAAAATGAAAAAAAATCAACTCAGTCCAAATTATTATTATTCAAACAATTATATCAAAAATTGGCTGAAAAAAAAACAGATATTATATCCTTCGTCCTGTTAAAACAATTGCCTATTGTATTGAAAAACGTCCTGCTTGTGATCTTATGGTATATTTATTCGTCCTTCAAAGCCACTCTAAGTGAACAATTCTTCAAGATAAGTTCAATTTGTGGAACTATAACAAAAGAAATTTAGAGCAGGACAAACCTAAAACTTGCCTCGCTTTAGCTCCACCAAAACAGTTTCTATGATCTGATTGATGAATTCCATATAATTTAATAGATTTGTTGGTAAACCAATTGAAAGGATTAAAAATAATAATTACACCGAGATCTTTCAAATTATTTCAAAAAAGACACCAGGGGTCCCCAAGATTAATTAAAATTCCTCCAAAAATTAAACAAGTAGTACCTGCTAAGATAAAACGTGATTTTGTTAAGTGAAATATCCTTTAAGAATAGAGAGGGTGGGTGGGCGGGGCTAGTACTTGATAAGATAAGACTGAATTTGGCAACTGAGACACCAGGGGCCCTCAAAATGTTTTAGAGTGTTTACAAAAATTAAACATTGTTTAACATTCCTTAAATTATTATAACCAACAACACCGGCAGTTCCAAAATTCTGAAAAAAAGTACCTGGTACCCCAAGATTTTCTATTTTATTTCAAAATGAGTCACCCAGGGACCCCACGGTTCTTTGAACTTCTCCCAAAAACTAAGCATCAACTTCCAGAATCTTTCTAAAAATAATATACATGATGCCCTCAAAATTCTTTTAAATTCTCCAAAAAATAATACACCGTAGGTTCGCAAGTTTTTTGAATTATTTAAAAAACCGCTCATTAAAACTCTTTTAAATCCATACAAAAAATAAACACCACAAATCTAAAAGATTTTTTTCAAGGTCGTCCAAAAACAAAACATCAGAGGCCCCTAAGATGCTTTTACTTAAAAAAAAAACACCAGGGCCCCCCAAGATTAATTAAATTTGTTCCAAACGTTAAACAAGTAGCACCTGGTTGATAAGACTGATTTTGGCAAATGAGATATCCTCTGAGAAAACAGAGAACGAGTGGGCGGGGCTAGTACCCGTTAAGACTGATTTTGGCAAATGTCATATCCTCTAAGAAAAGAGAGGGCGGGTGGGCGGGGCTAGTACCTGCCAAGATAAAACTGATTTTGGCCAATGACGTATCCTCTAAGAAATTTAATTAACTTGATTATTTTAAGAAAAGACACTAGAAGCTCCAAAGCACTTTCAAATTCTTTCCAAAAGAAAGGAATACCTAGAACCTCAAGATTGTTTTAAATTCTTTAAAAAAAAAAACAGAAAAAACGGGGTCCCAAAATTAACTCAAAAACAAGACAGTTCTTTTAAATAATTGACAAAAAAAATCTTCATGGTCCCCCAAAATAATACACCATGGGTACCCAAAAGTCTCCCGAATTAAAAAAAAAAAACACTGAAGAACTCAAGACTTTTTCAAATTCGTAAAAAATAAGACCTCAAAGGTTTTTCAGCACCAAAATACCAGATTCCTTCAAACTTATTCGAAAATAAAACACCAGGGTATCTCCAAACTTTTTTTTAGTGTTTACAAAAATTAAACACTGTTTAATAGATAGATAGATAGATAGATAGATAGATAAGTTTATTGCACAACAGTACAAACGGTTAGTTAACATTAATATTCTTTAAATAATTGCAAACAAAAACTCTGGCAGCTCCAAAATTTTGAAAAAAAAACACCTGGTACCCAAGATACTTTTGATTATTTCAGAAAGAGGCGTCCACTATTTGAACTTCTCCCAAAAACTAAATATCAACTTTCACAAACTTTCTAAAAAAAATACCACATGTCCTCAAAATTCTTTTAAATTCTCCAAAAAATAATACAGCAAGAATTCTCAAGTTTTTTTGAATTATTAAATAAAGCGCTAGTTCAAAACTCTTGAATCCATACAAAAAATGTAACACCACAGATCTAAAAGATTTTTTCAAGTTCATCCCAAAAACAAAACATCAGAGGCCCCCAAGATTCTTTTAAATTATTTTAAAAAAACACCAGGCCCCCCCAAAATTAATTAAAATTCTTCCAAAAATTAAACAAGTGGTACCTGCTAAGATAAAACTGATTTTGGCAAATGACATACCCTCTAAGAAAAGAAAGGGCGGGTGGGCGGGGCTAGCACTTGCTAAGAAAAAACTGATTTTGGCAAATGACATATCCTTTGAAAAAAGAGAGGGTGGGTGGGCGGGGCTAGTACTTGCTAACAAAAAACTGATTTGGCAAATGATGTACCCTCTGAGAAAAGAGAGGGTGGGTGGGTGGGGCTAGTACCTGTTAAGATACGACAGATTTTAGCAAATGACTTATCCTCTCAAAAATTTAATTAATTAAATTATTATAAGAAAAGAAAAACAGGAAATATATATAGAATACGTAGAACCTCAAGATTGTTTTAATTTTTTTCAAAAAAAAACGGGGTCCCAAAATTATCTCAAAACAGGGCAGGACTTTCCCCAAATGTTTGCGAATTTTTCCAAAAACAGAACACCAAAGTCCCCCAAAATTCTTTTAAATAATTTACAAAAAAAAAATCTCCAAGGGTACCCAAGCTTTTGAACCCCAAATGCCTTCCTATAATAATTTAATTAATTTAAATTCTTGGAGGATACATCATTTGCATCTATTTATTTAGCGGCTAATTTCGGTCATATTTTAACAGGGACTAGCCCGCCCACCCGCCCTCTATATTCTTAGAGAGTATATCATTTGCCAAAGTCAGTTTTATCTTATCAGGTACTAACCCCGCCCACCCACCCTCTCTTTTCTCAGAGGATATGTCATCTGCCAAAATCAGTTTTTTCTTAACAGGTATAGTTTTGGAAATTTCATTGTACCATATAAAATTTTATTGACGATAACGAGACGGACAGTAGTGATACAATGGTAAGAAATGTTTATGGTTCACACCAGTTCACTCGAATTTGTCTGAGAACATATAGCAGGTAGTTGTACACATAAAATATTGGTCATTTTCCTTGATGAGTACCCATGGTCCCTGTCCGGACCTGGATTATTCTGCTTTCTAACATCTGGGGATTACCGGCACGCGACTACTTTAGTTGTAAATATGTCTTCCTATTGTACCCCGTCTCGATATTGCCAATAAAATTTTATAGGGTAGAATGAAACTTCCAAAACTATACTAGCCCCACCAATTCTGAAAAACAAACACTTGGTAGCCCAAGATTCTCTAGATTATTCTAAATAAGGCACCCAGAATCGCCAGAATCTCCCACGATTCTTTGAGCTTCTCCCAAAAACTAAACAGCGTTTTTCAATATATTTATAAAAATAAAATACCTACCCTCAAAATTCTTTTAAATTTCTCAAAAAATAGTAATTCATGGATTCGCAAACTTTCTGAATTAAAAAAAAACACTAATTCGAAACTCTGGTACCCCAGATTTCTAAGAAATGTTTCCAAAAATAAAACACCAGGTGCTTTCAAAATTCTTTCAAATTCTTTAAAAAATACATAGTGGGTCTTTTGAAATTATTCTTAAAATAGATCTAGCGCACTCAAAAGTCTTTTAAATCCATAAAAAAATGAAACCACAAATTTTAAAGATTTTTTCAAGTTCATCTAAAAACAAAACACCAGATTCTTTCCAATTTATCCAAAAAGAAAACACGAAAGGCCTTCAAGCTTCTTTTAAATTTTCCAGAAATTAAACACCAACATTAGAAGCTCCAAAATTGTTTCAAGCTCTTTCCGAAAAGAAACACATGGAACCCTAGGATTGTTTAAATTCTTAAAAAATACAAGGGGCACCAAAATTTCTTCAAAAACAAAACATCGGAAGTTCCCAAAATTTTGGCAATGGGAGCCATAAAAATTAGTATTATCATGTCAATTATCTGTCAACCCGACTGCATTAAGATAATCAGTTTTTTATCAATGGACCCGGCAACCTGAACAAAACATGCTTGTGAAAAAAAAACACAATATTGAAAATTCTGAAAGTCCAGTTTTAGAAAATGTGAAACTAAATATTTGGTGAGAAATTCTCTTCACACTTCTGCAATTTCACAACTCAGGTAGCAAATACGCCAGCTATCACTCCTGTTTCTATTTTCGTCCTGATTAAACAATTACTAATCGGTATCAACATCCTGCAATACCTATCGAATAATTTTCACCCATACGATAACCACCTCCAAACAAAAGGAAGTGAATCACCCAGAAATTCTCTAATTACCAACACACGATATATCGCATTCCTCCGCAATTGCGTTCTTCGCCAACATTCCCAAATCGCTCCAAGACGGAACCATTAACATTGATAAAATTACACCCACGGTACTGCGCACAATTAATCACCACGCAGATAATTCCCGTCATCCGATAATAAACCCCGAACAACCACCATCAATTCAACTTAATGACCAACCACACCAAACCCTTCAAATTCCCCATTACGCACCATAAACAAAATTGCCACGTTCCGACTGACCTGAAATTTACGACAAGCGCCAAAGACATAACAAATCGCTACTCCAATCTCGAGATCAAATGGCTATCCAATTCCATAGACACCCACACGGTGGTACGTTTCGCGATGGTACATGCGATTCCCCTTCCAGGTCCTGCAGCAAGCCGGAAACGTCGACCGCCTGGGCCGCTTCCTCTGGTCTCTACCCGCCTGCGACAAACTCCACAACAACGAGTCGGTACTCAAGGCCAAAGCCATCGTGGCCTTCCACAGAGGCAACTTCAAGGAGCTGTACAAAATCCTGGAGAGTCACCAGTTCAGTCCGCACAACCACGCCAAGCTGCAGGCGCTGTGGCTCAAAGCGCACTACATCGAGGCGGAGAGGCTGCGAGGTACGACCTGATCTTCCGGTTCTTGAGCTAGCTCTAGTGGTACTGGTTACAGGGAGGCCGCTGGGCGCAGTGGGGAAGTATCGGGTGCGGAGAAAATTCCCGCTGCCCAGGACGATCTGGGACGGCGAGGAGACGAGCTACTGCTTCAAGGAGAAGTCGAGGAGCGTGCTGAGGGACTGGTACTCGCACAATCCGTATCCTAGTCCGAGGGAGAAGAGGGAGCTGGCGGACGCCACGGGGTTGACGACGACGCAGGTTTCGAATTGGTTCAAAAATCGAAGGCAGAGGGACCGAGCCGCTGAACATAAAGACAGGTAAGAGTGACTCGGGTCGATAAGTAATTGACTTAATCACTATTGAAAAGGTAGCCTTAGTTGAGGGATCGTGTTTCCGCGGAAGCCGTACTTGGCCACGGGGGCGAAACGGACGGGGAACGGGGAGTACCGCTTTCGTAATCCTAATTACGAGGAGTTCAGTGACTGATCTTGAGTCTGGGTTTTTAGAATCGTGTAGTTTGATGTTTGTGTCGAATTTTATTTATTTTTATTAGAGTAATTTCAGAAATAATAAGCTGGGGCGTGAGCCGAGATATTGATAATGAACAGGCGAACAAACCCGTAAGCAACACGTTGTACGTGGGGAAACTCGCGGCGGTGTTGCCAGTTATCAAAAATCTACCGATTTCTGAAGAAACTGACACATGAATCTTACACAAATTGTCAAGTTTTTGTCATTCTGTTAAAATTTGAATTTTATGTATTAAAATTTAATAGTAAATCGATTTCTCGAATTTTTATGATTTTAAAATTGCGTTTTTTGGTTTTTTATCACGTGATTTAAAAACTGTTCACAATTTTGTTTTTTTCAATATTCGAGGTGCTGTTTTGCAAAAAATCGAAGAACTGAAAAATTTAGGTACATACTGACAAATGGAAAAATCGGAACTTCGGAATATCGATAAATGGACACATCGAGAAATCAAATAATTTTAAAAATTGCAATCCGATCGAAAACATCAAAAAATTAAAAAATGAAGACATCGAAAAATTGATGAATTCAGAAATCAAAAAGCTCTCAAAATTGAGAGATCGACAACTTCAACCGAAAAGTTGAAAAATTTTAAAAATCCAGAAACTGAGAAGTCAAGAACGGAAAATCTGAAAATTCAAAAATCTAGAATGTAAAAATCGAAAATTTCAAAAATCCAAGACTATCGAAAATCCAGAATTTAAAAAATCGAAAATTTTAAAATCCGAAAATTGAATAAAAACACTGAAAAATCGAAACATCGAGAAATTTGAAAATCGAAAAGTCGAAAAATCCAAAAACTGATACATCGAGAAACTGAAACAATAGAAAATAGAGAAATCCAAAATTGAAAAATTGAAAATTAAAAAAAAGATAGCTACATCGAAAAACTGAAAAATCCAGAAATTGAATAGCTGAGAAATCGAAAAACCGAGAAAACAAAACCTCGAAAAATTCAAAAATTCAAACAGAGAAATCGAAAAGTCGAAAAATCGAAAAACCGAAATATGAAGAAATAAAAAAATTGTAAAATCAAAAAATTGAAAAAACGACAAATGTAAAAAATCGAAAAATTGAGAAATCAAAAAATCTAAAACTTGAAAATTTAAAATATCCAAAAATTAGAGAATCCCAAACTTAAAAAACTGAGAAATCGAAACATCAATATCTCGGAAAATCCGCAAGTTTCAAAAATCGAAAAGCCAAAAAATCGAAAACATCGAAAATCCAGAATTTAAACAATCGAAAAATTGAAAAATCCGAAAATTGAATCGAAAAACTGAAAAATCAATCAAAGATCAAATCAAGATGGCGTACAGTCAACAGGGCGATAAAGTGTTCTGCTTCGTTTGTGGTAACCCAGCAGTTAAGAAAAGAATTTATTGTAGTGATTGCAGTGTTTGGTCTCATCTAAGTTGTGCAGATAAAAAAAAGTGCTGTGAACAAAATGTTCAAACATCTGATAACGATACTCTACCTAACCAAGAAAACCTGGTCCAAACTATCAATTCCTTATCGGCTATCGTCAATGATATGAAAAAGGTTATCGAAGAGTTGGTCACAGAAAACAAAAAATTGAGAGAGGAGATCGAACATGTGAAATCTGGAAAACAACAAACAGGGGAATCTGGTCCAGAAGTAGAGGAGGCAGCTGTAGAAGAGGCTGTTGAGCGAATACACCGGTCTCACAATGTTATTATAAGAGGTGTTCCGGAGTACCAAGGAGAGGCAGCTCAACAAAAACAAGCAGACGAGGAAATCGTTATGAATCTCATAAAGTCGGCAATTCCCAGTGATTTGGGCCAAAGTGTACTTAATCTCACCCGTTTAGGGAAACTTATCCCAAATCGTTGTAGAATTATTAAAGTCGAATTTAATAATCCAAATATAGTTAAAAAACTAATACGGCATCGTTTCGGTAACAACATTTTCTTCAATACTGATCTAACTCGGCTCCAACAGAATAGGGCTTTTGCTGTTCGTAAGGAATTTAAAAGGCGTCGTGACAATGGTGAAAATAATATTCGATTAAGATACTACAATGGCATGCCGAAAATTGTTGAAACAAAAAACGAATGAACATCCAACAGACATCCAATTCATCGTCATCTATTAATTATAACATACTCAATACTACATCAACATATACACTAATTTACCAAAATGTGCGTGGTTTGAATTCTAAAGTGCAAGAATTTTATAACAACTGCTGTGACATAGAAGCAGATATATTGTTACTGACCGAAACATGGCTTCATGAAAATGTTTTTTCAGCTGAACTTTTTCCTCAACATTTTGAAATCTTTCGATGTGACAGAAATAAAAGAAGAGGTGGTGGCGTACTAGCGGCAGTCAAAATTAGTTTTGTAGCTGAACGACTAAACCTTATTTCTCCGGTACCTGAGATAGATCTTATTGGTATCAAAGTTCAAGGTAATAGTACTTTCACTTTCGTTGTGATATACATTCCGCCAGCATTACATGTTGATGCATACACTCAAATCTTTGAGTATATTGAAAGTGCCATTGATTTTTCAAATCCGGTTGTTATTGTAGGCGATTTTAATATACCTGAGTTAGTAGATTGTGCATCTGGCCGGAACTCGTCACACATCTTCAATATTTATTCTCACTTCATTTCCATGAATAATTTGAAACAACATAATTCAGTTTTAAACTCCAACAACAGAATCTTGGACATAGTTTTGACAACTGATGAAGTCTCAGCTGAAGTAACAAATAGCAATTTTCCATTAGTTCGTGAAGATGCTCACCACCCTTGCTTGGACATCAATTTATTTATCAAAGACCAATCAAGTAATCCATTTCCAAGAACATCAAACACAGTAAAATTTAATTTTCGTAAAGCAGATTTAGTAAGATTGTATAATGCCTTTATTGAAACTGACTGGTCAGAAGTTTTAGACACAGTGGATGTTGAGACAGCATGTTCTACTTTTTATGATATCAATCATAAATTATTAAATGTTTATGTTCCGAAGTGTTCGTCATCAGCGAAGACATATTACCCTCCCTGGTTCACAAAAACGATTATATCCAGCATTAAAGAAAAACACAGGCTATGGAATCTCTATAGGAAAAGTAAATTGTTAACTTACTTGGATAGAATAAGAATTCTAAAATGCGACATACGACGTAATATTCGGCAAGCTTATAAAGTCTTCATCAGTGAGGCTGAAAATTCACTTCATAATGACCCAAAGAAGTTTTGGTCATTCGTAAATAAAAGGAGGAAAACTACTTGTGTTCCCAGTTGCATGACAGCTGGTGATGGTATTATAATATCTAATCCGCAAGACATAGTGAACGCATTTGCATCACAATTCGCAAGTGTTTACACCAATGACAACCATAAACCCTGTGTTGCATCAAGTTGTAATAAAATTAACTGTGAATACTGCGGAAGCTGCCGATGCTCTTTAGTAAGTGATAATCCTATTTGTGATAATTCCATCTGTGATAATTCTGTCTGTGATAACAATCTCATATTCAACCTGCCTGTGATTAATGACTGTGATATTTTAAAAGCTGCGAAAAAAATTAAACCAAATTTCGTTTGTGGTCCAGATGATATACCGGCATTTTTAGTGATTGATTGTCTTCAGTATTTGTTAAAACCTTTATGTCATATATACAACTTAATTTTAAAGTCGTCTATTTATCCACAAATGTGGAAAGTCTCTCGTGTATTTCCTGTGTTTAAAGCTGGTGACAAAGCTAACATTGTAAATTACAGACCGATAGCACTTATATCGAACTATGCTAAATTATTTGAATGTATTATGTCAGACTTCCTGTATACCCACTGTATTTCAACAATTGCCTTAGAACAGCATGGATTTATAAAAGGAAGATCCACTCTCACCAATTTATGTGAATTCACCGAATACGTATCCTTGGCTTTAGATAATCGCTTTCAAGTTGATGCCATATACACTGATTTATCCAAAGCTTTTGATAGAGTAGATCATTGCATATTGTTAAAAAAACTTGATACATTAGGAATATGTCATCAGCTAGTAATGATTTTTAGAAATCTCCTGTTTGGTAGGGAACAATTTGTTGAAATTCATGGAGTCCAGTCAACATTATTTCCTGTTAACAGCGGAGTTACTCAAGGCTCAAACCTAGGCCCGCTGTTATTTACTGTTTTCTTCAATGATGTCCTAAATGTTATTAGTTGTAGAGCGTTTATATATGCCGATGATTTAAAAATAGCTAAAGTAATAAAAACGAACAGAGATTGTTTAGTTTTACAAGATAATGTAGATAAATTAGCGCTGTGGTGTGAACAGAATAAGTTAAGCCTTAATAAAAAAAAATGTAGAAAAATTACATTCTCCAGGAAAGACACTAATTTTAATTTTTATTACAATATTAATGGAACTTTGCTAGAAAACTGTAATCAAATACGCGATTTAGGCATAATTGTAGACTCTGCATTGTCATTTGTTCCTCATATCATTGATATAACAAATTCAGCTATCAAAACACTTGGCTTCATCTGTAGAAATACTAAAGAATTTAATAATATTTTATGTATTAAACAGCTTTATTATAGTCTAGTTAGGTCAAAATTAGAATACTGTTCTATAATTTGGAGACCTCATCACCAAATTTATATTAATATTATAGAAAACGTTAACAGGAAATTTGCTAAGTATCTGTATTTTAAAATGTTCAACTGTTATCCTGTTAGTCATTGTAACCAAAGAGCTCTTCTTAATATAGTGAATGAAAATTTTCTCGAGTATAGACGAAATATTGCTTGTTTTGTATTTTTGCAGAAATTGGTGCGTGGTGATATATTCTGTCCAGCGTTACTAAATAATATTAACTTTTGTGTTCCTCGTTTATTGTGCAGAAATCCATCCACTTTTTACTATCAAATTCCAAATTCTTATCATCACTTTAATAGCCCCTTAATTACATGTTTTAGACTTTATAATAACTGTACTTTAGACGATAGCATTGATATTTTTCACGCTAATTTTAATAAAGCATCTTTCAAAAAAAAGTTATTAGCACGATATGCACAATAATATATGTACATAATATTTGTTCTGATGTTAGATTTAATTTTTTTTTTTTAGATTTTTTTTAAATTGTAAGTTTAGTTTAAGCTGAATTTAATGTCTTTTTGTGTATACATGTCCACCATAGACTAACGTCTGTTGGAATGAATAAACGTATTATTATTATTATTATTATTATTAAAAATCGAAAAATCGAGACATCGAAAAAATCGATACGTCGTAAAATCCAAAGGAGAAATTGAAACATCCGAAGATCGAGAAATCGAAGTCAAAAAATGGAAATTTTGAAACGTTAAAAATTGAAAAATTGAAAAATGTAAAAACTCGAAAATTTGAAAAATCAAAAAATCTAAAGATTTAAAAAATTAAACTATCGAAATATTAAGGAATCGCGAACTTAAAAAATCGGAAAATTCATAATCTAAAATTTAAAAATCGAAAAGCCAAAAAATCAAAAGTATCGAAAATCCAGAATTTAAACAATCGAAAAATTGAAAAATTGAAAAATCCGAAAATTTAATCGAAAAACTGAAAAACCGAAATATCGAAAAATCCAAAAACTGAAACATGGAGAAACTGAAATATCAGAAGGTCGAGAAATCAAAAAGTCAAAAAATCGAAAATTTGAAAAGTTAAAAATTGAAAAATAGAAAAATGTAGAAAGTTGAAAAATTGGGAAATCAAAAAATCTAAAATTTGAAAAATTAAAATGTGGAAAAATTAAGGAATTGCAAATTTTAAAAATCGCGAAATCGAAACATCAAGACATCGGAAAATCGGAAAATTTAAAAATCGGAAAGCCAAAAAATCGAAAACATCGAAAATCCAGAATTTAAATAATCGAAAAATTTAAAATCCGAAAATTGAATCGAAAAACTGAAAAATCGTGAAATTGGAAAATCGGAAAATCAATACATCGAAAAATCCCAAAATTGAAACGTGGTGTAACTGAAACATTGAAAAATTCAAAAATTGAAACAGAATTCAAAAATCGAAAAATTGAAAAATCCGAAAATTAAATCGAAAAACTAAAAAATCGAAAAACCGAGATATCAAGAATTCAACACAGCAAAAAAATAGTAAAATCGAAAAATTGTGAAATCGAATAATTGAGAAATCAAAAAATATAAAATTTGAAGAATTAAAATATCGTAAAATTAAGGAATTGCAAATTTGAAAAATCGGGAAATTGAAACATCAAAAAATCGGAAAATCGGAAAATTCAAAACTCGAAAAGCCAAAAAATCGAAAACATGGAAAATCCTAAACAGTTGAAAAATTGAAAAATGCGAAAATCGAACCGAAAAAATCAAAAAATTGAAATTGGAAAATCGAAACATCGAAAAATCCAAAAGCTGAAATATGAAGAACCTGAAACATCAAAAGATCGAAAAATCAAAAAGTCTAAAAATCGAAAATTTGAAAAGTTAAAAACTGAAAAATAGAAAAGTTAAAAATAAAAAAAAACGATAAATCGAAAAACTGAAAAATGGATAAATTGAATAGCCGAAAAATCGAAAAACCGAGAAAACGAGACGTCGAAAAATTCAAAAATTGAAACAGAGAAATTAAAAAGTCGAACAATCGAAAAACAGAGATTTGAAGAAATCAAAACGTCAAAAAATCGTAAAATCTAAAAATTGAAAAATCGAAAAATGTAAAATGTCGAAAAATTGGGAAATCAAAAAATCTAAGATTCGAAAAATTAAAATGTGGAAAAATTAAGGAATTGCAAATTTGAAAAATCGCGAAATTGAAACATCAAGACATCGGAAAATCGGAAAATTCAAAAATCGGAAGTCCAAAAAATCGAAAACATCGAAAATCCAGAATTTAAACAATCGAAAAATTGAGAAATCTGAAAATTGAATCGAAAAACTGAAAAATCGTGAAATTGGAAAACCGAAAAATCGGAAAATCGATACGTCAAAAAATTCAAAAATTGAAACAGAATTTAAAAATCGAAAAATTGAAAAATCCGAAAATTACATCGAAAAACTAAAAAATCGAAAAACCGAGATCTGAAGAATTCAAAACATCAAAAAATCGTAAAATCTAAAAATTGAAAAATCGAAAAATTGAGAAATCAAAAAATCTAAAATTTGAACAATTAAAATATCGAAAAATTAAGGAATTGCAAATTTGAAAAATCCAGAAATCGAAACATCAAGAAATCGGAAAATCGGAGAATTCAAAACTCGAAAAGCCAAAAAATCGAAAACATCGAAAATCCTAAACAATCGAAAAATTGAAAAATCCGACAATTGAATTGAAAAACCGAGATATCAAGCATCCAAAACATCAAAAAATTGTAAAATCGAAAAATTTAAAAAATCGAAAAACTAAGAAATCGAAAAATCAAAAATTTGAAAAGTTAAAATATCGAAACATCAAAAAATCGGAAAATTGAAAAATTAAAAATCTGAAATTTAAAATTCGAAAATTACAAAAATTGAAAAACCAAACAATTGAAGAAAACATCGAAAATCCAGAATTAAAAAAATCAAAAAATTTAAAAATCCGAAAATTGCATCCAAAAACTTTAACGATCGAAACTTCGAAAAATTTGAAAATTGAAAAACCAGAAAATCGAGACGACGAAAAATCCAGAAACGGAAACATCAGGAGATAGAGGAACGAAAAAACAAAAAATCGAAATTTTGAAAAGTTAAAAATTGTAATATTGAATAATGTAAAATTGAACAACAAAACGAAACATCGACAAACTGAAAAATTGAGTAATTGATTGGCCGAAAAATCCAGAAA